AAGAGTTATGTCAACTGTGGTATGTAATTGAAAGACACTTTATTGCCTCTTACTGCCATATAGATAAAGGCAAATACAATTGTGATATGTCTCCACCTCAAGCATGGCATTAGTCGATTCCACTGGGGTATGGATGCACAACCATTTTTCCTGCTAGGACCCAGGTCCAATCTTAGCCCTCTAGGTTTTGGCCTATGCTTAACTTTTTTTCCGTCTCTCTGATTTGCTCAGAAAAGTTTGCCACAGGTCTGTAGGCTCTCATTTATGGGCCTCATACCAAAGGTCAGTTGTAACACGCAGGTCTCCATGAAGTGCAAATGGGCTAACAAATACTTTGTAGGTATCCTCCGATCCCTTCAGCAAGGCTGTCAATGAGCACCCTCTAGAGAGATATAAAATCTAACAAAAACTCACTTCCCTGTAAACCATCACATTGTTCAGGTTCCCTCTGATCAACTCCCAATTCTCTTTCCTTAGGTATAGGGAGAGTGTTTCAGGCAAAGGCGACAGCCAGTGGAAACTCAGAGTTGGGAGATGGATTGTCTTGTCTAAGGAATGACAAGGAGGCCGGTGTCTCCGCCTTACGATAGGGAGTACAAGTGTGAGAAGATTTGGAATGTAGTAAGGGGCTAAGTTAAGCTTTAAAAGTCAAACAGAGGATTTTATATTTGATCCTGGATGGAACAGAGCATTGTTGGAGTTTGTCAAATGGCGTAATGATGATGATCAGACCTACACTTTAGGGAGATCAACTTGACAGCTGAGTGGAAGATGGACTGGAGAATGGATAAAGACTTGGAGCAGAGACCAACTAGAAGACTTTGTAAATAGGCCAGGCATGAAGTGATGAAAAACGGTACTAGGGTGGGACCAGTGTCAGAAGGGAGAAGAGGGCATATACGAGAGATATGGCAAAGGTAGAACTGGCAGGACTTGGCAATAGACTGGGTAAGGGGGGGTAAGAGATTTTGAGGGGTCAAGGATGACACCAAAGTTAAGGATGATAAGGAAGATAGTCAACAATACTTGGGAAGACAGGAAGAGGAGAAGGTTAGGGGGGAAAGATGATGATTTCAGTTTTGCTCATGTCCCAAAGGTAGTTGGAGATACAAGACTGGAGGACAGGACAGAGACTGCTTGCTGTTCAGTCATTTCAGTCATATCTGACTATCAATGACCCCATTTGGGGTTTTCTTGGCAAAGATCCTAGAGTGATTTTCCATTGCCTTCTCTACCTCATTTTACAGGTAAACTGAGGTAAACAGGGTTAAGTGACCTTCCCAGGGTCACACAGTTAGTGTCTGAGGCCAGATTTGAACTCATGAAGATGTATCTTCCTGATTCCAAGCCCAGTGCTTTATCCACTGGACCACCAACTGCCCCTCAGGAGAGAGGTTAGGACCAGCTAAATAAATCTGAGAATCATCAGTATACACATGATAATTAAATTCACCAAGTGAACAGTATAGAGGGCTTAGGGCAGAAGGTTGGTGGGCTTGATGTAAGATGAAAAACCAAGAAAGGAGATTGAGAAGGCGCAATCAACATAAGTATGAGGAGATTCAAGATAGAATATTATCATGGAAAGAGAGAAGAGTTTGATCAGCAGTGTCAAAAGGTGCAGAGAGGTTAAGATGGATAAGGATTGAGAATCAATGAAGATCATTGGTAACTTTCCAGAGACTTTCCAGAGTTTCAGTTGTCGTAAGCTAGACTATAGAGATTAGAAGAGAATGAGAGGAGAGGAAGTGGAGATAGTAGAAGCCTTTCTCCAAGGAGTTTAGCCAATGATTACCTGCTTTCCTGAATGCCTTCCCCAGTGCAGTGCCCATGGTACACAATTCTGATATACTCCTCAAACTATAAATTTTATGTGAACATCCAGACCTTCCATAGTTTTGTGGGCCTAACCTTATCTTTATTCCCAACATCCAAGTTCTTCTAGGCTCTCATCTGTCTTGTTGCTATCCCAACCCTCCCCCCAATAAATAGGAAAAAAAGTAAAAAACAAAACAAACAAAAAACCCCAAAAAACTACTTACAGCAGCAAAAACAAGAAAAAAAATCAAGCCTCCCTCATCCCCAGTGGGAAACATGCAGGTTTGCTAAGTAGTGAAGCGTATCTCTGTGTATCGTTCTGCATTCTGTAGTCATCTCTAAAATGCAACCTGGTCCATAAAATACACAGATTGCCGGTATGGGCCACAGATTATATCTTGGGGATTCAGAGATACTAGACATTTGCTTTTCCAGAAATCTCATGTTTGTTTCCTTCCAGGGGAGTCTGCACCACAAAATGGTGCCATGAGTCTGGAGATCTATATGGGTCCTTGGGAGGAAGGCAAGAATCAGTAAAGAGGAAGAAGTTTTATATGTATATGTATGTACGTACGTATGTTGTTTATGTGCTTACGTTTATGTTTGCTCTATTGGGGCAGTTAGGTGATACAATGGATAGAATGCTGGGCCTAGAGTCATGAAGATCACAGTTCAAATCTGGTGTTGGACACTTACTATCTGTGTGACCCTAAGCAAGTCACTTAAGTGCTGTCTGCCTCAGTTTCCTTCACTGTAAAATGGGAATCTACAATAGTACCTACATCCCAGGTTTATTGTGAGGATCTAATGAGATAATATTTATAAAGCTTTTTTTTGTTTAGCACAGTGCCTGGCACAGAATAAGTCTGTAAAATGCTTATTCCCTTCCCCTTCCCTGTATTGTCTGTGGGATACAAGAAGGCTGTCCTATACATACTCACGTCCATGGAGACCTAGACATGAGCTATATTTTGAAGTTCAGAGGCAAAATTCTTTTTGAGGGCAAAACTAGCCAAAGAGAAAAGATTTGGGGTAAAGGCCCCTCCCCCAAGTGAATTTGGTTTTTGAAACCCAGACCTTTGGGGTGTCAGTCTGACAGTTACATATTAGGGACTCATCTAGGATGTTGGACCATTGTTTCTTTAGCCACCCTAAAGTTCTCTTCCTTTGATGGGGGGAGTCCAAGCCCTTAGTGTGGTTTTCATAAAGCTAGAAGCCTATGAGGATTCTGGGGTTAAGGATGCAAGGCAGTATGTGTGTACGTGTGTGTATTGGGGGAGTTGCTTCATTAGTAATACCACATAGTAGGCATTTAATAAATTTTTATTGATTATTTCTGTCTCTTTCTTACACAGACATCATCTCTTACACACTAAAAACACACAAACACCATTCACACGCTCCTTTGGCAAAGATGAACTGAAAAGATGATAATTTTACTCTCTGGCATCTTTGCTCTTAATAAGAAGCTAGCAATGGCAGAATCAAATGCACATTTTCAACAGAATGCTCTGTTCATCTGAATCACTGCAAATAAAACTTAATCAGCCTTGTAAAACACATACAATCCAATTTGAGAAATATTTATTCAGCACCTCCTTCGAAGCAACATGTGCCAGGCACAAGGATGAAGAAAACACATTCTTCTGATCTCAAGGAGCTTGTAATTGAGGAGGGGTAAAGAAGGTAAGAAAAGAATGTAAATAACCATGAAGCAAGGCAGAAAAAGAATAACATTTATTAAACACCTACTACGTTCAAGGCAACTGGCTAAGCACTGGGGAAATAAAGGTGAAACAAAACAGTCTTCTGACACCACTCACATTCTAGTAAGAGGATTAAGGCAAATGCACAAATAACTGATAAAAGGAACAATGTGAAAAAGGCAAGAAAGTAGGTACAGTGTCATGAGAAATTTGAAGAAGGAAAATCTTTTATTTGCAAGAGATCAGGAAAGACTTCATGAAGGATATAACACCTCAGTTGGACCCTGAAGGCAGAGAAAAGTTTTTTAATAAGCAGAGGTGTGGGGGAAGGGGAACAGGAGGAAGTTCCTTCCAGGCATGGATTGCAAAATCAGAACCATAACTACGAGTTTGTTTGCTGAGTATCATGTGTGTGTGTGTGTGTGTGTGCGTGTGCACACACGCACGCAGGTGCGAGTGCGTGGACATGCATGCATGTGTGGAGAAAGAAACAGAGAGACACAGAGGCAGAGAGGTGTAAACCACTTTCCAGAGAATCCTTCGTTGCCTCTGAATGGTTTTGGTGGGGAAGCCAAGCCCTAGGAAGAAGTGCCACAACCATGGGATCTCTAGGACTAGTGACCCTGAGCCCAGTGAAGTAAAAAGCATCAGTTCAGTGGAGGATGATGAAGAGGATGTGAGGGGTAAATGGCATGTCTTTGGGGGAGGAAGCATCCAAGGGGAAAGTCTCAATTGCAGGTCCCTAAATTTGATTTTCGATAGAATGAACCAAGGTATGGAAACCAGACAAGTCAGGATAACAATAATAGCTAATGAGAAATAGCTAATGAGTGGATGATATGAAGGGCAATAGGGTTGGGTAAGACTGAAAGGTAGGTCTCAGAGAAGCTGTGAAAGACTTTGGATGGGGATCAGATTATACTTTATTAGAAAAGGCGATGGGGAGCTATTGAAGGTTTTTGAGGAGAGAGGTATGATGTGAACAGACATACAACAAGAAGATGACTCTAGATCATTGAATGTAAATAACTTTCCAGGAAATCATTTATCTAGGGAACCTAGTCCTTGCTGACATCTTAAAAGGTGCTAAACTGAACCGATACATGGAACATTCACTGCCTAGTGCTCTGTCTCTTGTCAAGGAATTTGTTCTTTAAGTTTTTACGTTTTCATTGCTGTCTTCTTTCTATATATTTGAATCTTCTATACTTGGGACAAATATAGTATGCATTTTTTTTCTACCTTTACTTCCTTGACCTCTTTCTTTCCCCCCGTCTCCCAGCTCCCTTAAGCCAACAAACATTTCTCTGTGAAGTTGAAAAGAATTTTTTATTTACTCTTCAAATATTCCTGAAACGTTCTTGTTTACACACACGTATGCTCTAACTCAAAGAAGAAATTTCAAAGGGCTCACAGTGGAAGACTTCAGAATCACCTCCATCCTAAAGCAGACTCACACATGATCAGCATTCTTACCAGCTACTTTGTGAAGAGGCAACTTTTTCTCCAAGGCCTTAGTTTCATCTCTGGATTCTGGATACTTGATTACTTTGTCCAGTTTTTCAAGGTTTCCAGGAGGGAGTGTGTGTGAGTGGGGAGTAGTTACAGTTTGCAAAACAGGTTTCTTGGGTAATGGAGGCTTGTGATTAAGCTGCTCAGAGGACTTGGCTTTACCCTTCACCTTATCATTTAAAGGACTAGTCGCACTTATATCTGAGAGTCTTTTGATTTGAGTTTTTTCATCTTTTGAAAGCAATGTCAACCCTCCTTTCTCCATCCTGATCTCCGCACTGTATCGCTTCATGCCTTTTGATTCTGGGAAAGACCCATCTCTATATTTGAAAGACAGTGAGGTGGACCGGAGTTTGACTTGAAAGGGGTTTTTGTCTTCAGTGACAGGCTGACTCGGTAACTGTGGACAGGGATCTGCCTTTGGTGGTACGGCATTAGAAGCCGGGGACGTACAGCTCAGCCCAGTGTGGTCACCCTCTCTGCCTACAGAGTTCTGAGAGTCACTCTCCATTGGGAGTGCCGGTTTTAGAATGCCCAATTTCCCTTCCTGGTGTTCAGCGTCCATCTGAAGATTATCCCTGGTCACCTCATTTCTTGAGGCCAGGTTCATCTTCAGCAAGGACAATTTTGTGTTTGATGGAGTTTCGCTGCCTGAATATTCTTTCAGACAGAGGCTGCTAGCCTTTGGTCTCTCCCGGGAGGAAGACACAGAGAACTTTCTTGAGCTCCTCACTTCGCTGGCTGTCCTTTCCAGTTTACCTTCTGATAGCGCCCCCCTGGGAGTTGTGGGAGGACAGCCTTGCTGCTTAGACTTGAGAACCTCTTCAGGGGTGGTCTTTTTCTCCAGGGGCCAGGGGGCAGGTCCTACCTGTGGTGACACAGAACCTGGAGGAATGGGAGAAACACTGGGACTTGAGGGAACTGAAGAGTTTTTGTTTTTCAAACAACTCTTCGGTAACTGGGTGCCCAGGTCAGTCACTGTGGATTCTTTCACTGATTGCCCATCATCAGCCACTTCCAGGCTGTCTTTTGATTCCTGTACATTTTCTTCTGAACAATCTAAACTGGATGAAATTGTAGTAGTGCTGGAAACAGCCTTTGGAGAGGGCATATCTAGAGGGCTGTCGGAAGACTGATTCTGAACTTCACTAAGTGAACAAACCAACTCCTCACACGTGCTCCGTGTAGGAGAAGACGGTGCTGAGAGAGATGCTTTTTTGCTTTCTTCTTCATCTAGAGCAGGAGGTGAGGAGTTTTCAGGAAGAGAAGGGGGATCTAAAGAAAGCAAATGGTCTGACTCTGAGCCACTGACTTCCACTGTAGTCTCAGGGTTATTTACTAGGGATGACAACTCCCCTGCACTGGCAAATACATCAGGAAACTGGAGTATCCCAGGCTTTTCATCTTGGTGCTCCTCCTGGCTCTGGGAAGGCTCCTCAGGCATCTCTGGTCTCAAAATCTCCGGGCTACTTGCTACAGTCTCCTTGTCCATCATTTCCTCCTGGCTGTGACTGGAATTCTCATCTTTGTTGTTGCTGATCATTTGTTTCCCATCCTCTTCCTCTTCCTCTGGGGTACAAGTCAGATCACTTAGAGACTCTGACTGTGCACGCTGCAAGAAGTACAGGATGTATTAGATTTCATCACTACTTTAAACATTTATGAAGCTAATTTTTTTAAATTTTGGATTTCCTCCTCTAATTCCCAGAGGTCTTCAAAAACCCTCCTCTTACTATTTGTGGTATTTTAGAAAATGATACCCATAAGCAAATATAATTATAAATGAAAATGCTAAACAAACAAATTAAAGCATCTTTTTTTCAATCTCCTATGGAATTAACCTATTCAGAGTCTCAAACAAACTAATTTCCAGTGAAACTGTACAATTGCACACCCTAGAGACATCTGCGGATTTTTTTTTAAGGTGAATCACAGGACTGTTTTTTTGTTTTTGCTGTGTTTTTTTGCTTTTTGGTGAGGCAATTGGAGTTAAGTGACTTGCCTAGGGTCACACAGCTAGTAAGTGTCAAGTGTCTGAGGTCGGATTTGAACTCAGGTCCTCCTGAAGGACTGGCTGCTAACTGTTCTTCCTATCACTAGTGATCTCTCTATTTAAGTCAGGCTGTGCTCTTTGCTACCTTATACATTTGTGCCCAGAATGCCCATCCAAATCCTACAAATCTTAGCTAAAGTTCTATCTACTTGGTGAAAGATTCCCAATTGATGATCACGATACCTTTCTCTTCTGAATTCACTTGTTCATTTGTTGAGCAATCATTGATTAGGCATCTAATATGTGCAAAGCACTGGGCTAGGTATTGGGGGAGATATGAAGATAATTAAGACATGGTCCCTATTCTCATGGACTTTACATTCTGGAAGTATTATGTTACATTCACATATGTAAAATTATACAATATAAAATAATTTTAATAAATACTAAAGATTATAAATATATATAATATAAATGCTTACTTACATTTATATTATATAGCTCCAAAATGCTACTCAAAGTTTGAGGAAGGATTATTCAATAAAGTCTTTAAGAGATCTTATTGTTTGATTCAAGACAATTCCAAAGGATTCCTGATGGAAAAAGCTATCTACATCCAGAGAAAGAACCGATGGAGTCTGAATGTAGATCAAATAATACTATTTTCAGTTGTTTTTTTTTTCATAGTTTTTCTTTTGGTCTGTTTCTTTAACAACATGCTAATATGGAAATACGTCTTACATCATTGCCCATACATAACCTATATTAAATGGCTTACTGTCTTAGGGAGGGGAAGGGGAGGAAGGGAGGAAGAAAATTTGGAACTTAAATATTTTTAAAAATGAATGTTAAAAATTGTCTTTAAATGTAATTAGGAGAAATAAAATACTATTTAAAAAAGGAGATCTTATTGTTTATGCCACTCACTAGATGCACCATATCCTGCCATATATTGTTAGTTATATTTTTATATCATAGAATCAGATAATATAATAAAAATAGTGGACTTTAGTGATCATCTAGCCTGACTATTTCTACTGATAAGGAAAATGAGGCCTAAGAAGGTAAAAAAAAAACTTGTCCAAGATCACAGAGCTAAAAGAATTCAAACCAAATATGATCAAAAGCTTAAAAATTTTTGCTTGAGGAGCTTTCACATTCTAATAATTTCCTGTACTTAAAAGATGACACTTTTCTTTTATAGTAGCATCGATAATATCCTTTATTTTCTTCCTCCTTTTTTTTTTTTTTTTAAATTTAGGCAATTGGGATTAAGTGACTTGCCCAGGGTCACACAGCTAGTAAGGGTTAAGTGTTTGGTCTGAGGCCGGATTTGAACTCAGGTCCTCCTGACTCCAGGACCAGTGCTCTATCCACTGTGCCACCTAGCTGCTCCCTTTTCCCTATTTTTTTTAAAGTCTTTTTTTTTTTCCGGTGAGGCAATTGGGGTTAAGTGACTTGCCCGGGGTCACACAGGTAGTAAGTGTCAAGTCTCTGAGGCCAGATTTGAACTCAGGTCCTCCTGACTCCAGGGCCAGTGCTCTATCCACTGTGTCACCTAGCTGCCCCTTTAAAGTCTTTTTAAAAGACTGGGTCTCCCTGTCTTGCCCAGGCTGAAAGCGCAAGGGCTATTTATAAAGCTGATCCCATTAATGAGCTTTTTTGACCTGCTCTGTTTCTAACCTGGGTTAAATGGCTCCTATTAAGCAACCTAGCACACTTCCTTTCCCCAGGGGAAGGGGTCAGTTGCCATACTGATGCTGAACTCTGTGTAGATGCCTAATTAGCACAGTCCACTGCAGCTCACAACTCCTGAACTCAAGGAAAGGGCCAGCTTCAGCCTCACTGATATCTGTGATTAAAGGAGTGCATCAACCACGCCCAGCTAGCAGAGTCTTTTTTCCAAGACATTCAGACTATTTCTTCTGTTCTGGCCTGAGTTTTTTCCTCCCCTCATGCATTTAGAATATCCATTTCATTTTTTTCTGGCTTTTTCACCTCATTAATCAACGGATACAGCATGATCGAGAAAGAATTAAGTCATGAAACAGAATACAGTATGTAAGGAAAAACTAATTTATAAGGGTCTTCTTTGGGTCAGACAATGTCACCCTGCTAAAATTATCCTACAAGGCTATGTAATTTTGTTGATGTGGGTGCTCCCTCTGCCAACACAGATCACAATCATTCTACATTTTACAAAACAATCTGAGACTTGCTATGGCCCAAACCCCCAAATTGCTCCACTGCCAACATGGTGATGAACCTCTTTGGATTGAGTGAGGCTTGTTTGCAGAGAGACACAGTTCATCACTTGGTTTGTATTTGAAATCTTTTCTAAACTGGTAGGACCTGGTATAGCTTGCACTCTGCTGGCATAGCCTTTGAGAACTCAGGATCACCTTCACACCATGAGGCATCACTTGAGTGGAAGGATGAAATAATATTAGAGGGCTCTATATTAGCTATCATTTGTCCTGTCTCTTCAGCTAGACTATAAACTCCTTGAGGGGAGGAACAATATCTTATATATTTTTCTACTCTGTATGGAATAGAATAGAATACCATAGCTGGTACTTACTACATGTTGACTGGCATTAACTGCTAGGAGATACTTGAGACAGTTTCCATACATACCTTTTAGTCTCCTAGAATATCTCAGACCCAGGTCTAAATTACAGTATTGTGAAAAGAACACTGGATTCAAATCCCAGCCCTGCTGCTTACTACTTGCTACTTTCTGTGACCCTTTCTGTGGCAAGTCATTTCTCTTTGAGCCTTGGTTTTCTCATCTGTAAAATGAGGGTATTGGATAAAATGACCCCTCAGGTTCCTTCCAGCTCTGAATTTATGATCAGTAATATTCTAAGAGGATAAGCTGGCAGAAGAAGTGAGAAATGTGGAATTTTCAAAACAGTCTTATATTCTTAATTACTTGGATAGAAATATCAAATAATAAATGCATTTTGACATGAACCTGGCTTCACTGGATAAGTAAGTAGCTATCTAATGCATAAGAATATTAATACAGTGCTTCCAGTTACATCTAGAAATCTCTGGACTCAAGAAATCTATAGTCAAAAGTGACAGAATACATTCAAGGAAAGAAATAAACATTCCAGTAACAGTTTTTGCCTGTCACAAAAATGACCGAGCAAACGTTTGATTCAAGACAGTACAGAATTCAGTTGTGGCAAAGGCTGCCCAGTGTCTGAATAATGGAGGGACTGGAATGATCATTTCCAAAGATGGCATCTAATGCTGAGTACTGGCCTTCAAAGTGGCAAAAGAGAATATTAGGGAATATCAGTCCTCTGCCATATACTACAAGAAGGAACTCAGTTCTTGGAAATTCCAGGGTCCCTGCCCCTACTCCTTAAGGGGGCAGCTGATGGTACAATGGGTAATGGAGCGCTGGGTGTGGAGTCAAGATTTGAGTTCAAATCTGGTCTCAGACACTAGCTGAGACCCTGGACTAGTCACTTAACTTGTTTGCCCAATTCTAAAATGGGGACAGTAACAGCACTTACCTCTCAGAGTTGTTGTGAGGATCAAATGAGATAATGAGTATACTTAGCACACAGTAGGCAGTACATAAAGCCTTATTCCCTTCCCTTCCTCTGCCTTCCTCCCACTCTATCTCAAAGCACTGTCATCTGCCACTATCCATCCTCTCCAGTCCTCGACAACTTCACATCTGGAAGGGCTATTCTGTCCCTAGCTACCAAGCCAAATCCTTTTCATTGTTGGAGATACACTTCAAAGTGACCAAAAAACTCCCCAGATAAAGAATAATGAGGAAACAGCTGACACTTTCTATCTTCCTCCTTTACCCCTACCCATTTCAAAAGAGGTATACATGCTGCCCTGTTCATCAATCCAATTTTGCTTTTTTAAGATTGGAAACTATTTAAGAGTAAGGGAAGAGGAGCAACTGTGTCAACTGGGTGCTTTGTAAAGTCCTTAAAAGGTCTCCTGTTTGCTCAGTAAACATGTCTGTGGCAACGAATAAGAAGTTTGAATAAATTTTTTCCTTGTCTCCACAGTTGCACAGGGTTACATTTACTGGAAGATAGTTCTTTTTGCTACAGAAAGACTTTTGTTGACATTATTCCCTGAAAAAGCATACTGCCTGATAGGTAGCTTATCACACTTTTAAGGGGGAAAAAAAAACTATTTTGTCCCCTAAAAAGAATGCCTAGAACATTGAAACACTTCAGCCTGAAAGTCGACATTGTTGGACCTAGAATGCTGCAGGAGTTTAATCTGTATCCAACTACAGTGACATGAAATTGAAGAAAGGAAAGGAATCTGTTTTACCTTAAGTTATGGAAAAACAAACAACTTTCCACCCAGGAGATAAGTGAGAGAAACTCACTAATCAAAGGTCAGCTTGGTCAAAGCATCATAAAGCACCCTATCTTCTGCCAACATCCATTCTTTTTCCTGGCACCATCATCTCCACAGCCAGAAAGGACTAGGTTCTTTCTTCAAGGGAGACAAGCACTCTAACATCAGCACCTAAGCCCCTCTTCCTAAGGCCAACCAAGTCACCCAGGCAATGTGGTCAGTTTCAGTGGTAGGCGTGCTGAAAATGAGTAGGGACATCTGACCCTGCTCCAGTGATCAAGGAACCATTCCTGGCAACATTTTCCATATGAGTACCAAGCCCCACTTCCATTTGGTGAGACATGACTTACCGAACACAACCTTCTCATTTTGCTGGACCGCTGGTTTCGAGGTTTAACTAGGAGTTTGTGCTTTGCCGCAGAGTTATCAAGGCAGGAAGAGAACTCAGGAGGATAATCGAAATCTGCTAGAGGTGAGAGACTACTGTCTGATGTCCGTGGAGACGTCATGGTATCGCTGGCATGTCTAGAGAATAGCTGGTCTGGAGAAAGGGGTCTGGAAGAAGAACCTAAAGTGACCTTTCGAAAGCAAAGACATCAAGGGCATTAGCTTAAAAAAAGCAAAAGAATAAGATTCCAAACATTTACTTCTCTTCTCTTAATGAGCTTAGTTTTCGTACTGTTCCTTGGTCTTTCTTATGAGGAATTTTAAAATTTCTAAATATTTATTTATTCTATTTGTTTATCACATCTAAAAAAAATCTTTAAAATTTTATTATTTTTGTTTGTTATATCTAAATATTTTTTCTAAATATTCTAAATTTGGCATTTGATGGGGAGAATTCTGTGATATCTTAATAGAAAACAATAACAAATAAGGGATGAAATTCATATACTTTAGTGTTTACCAACTGCTTTACCTAAATTCTCTTTTTTGAGTCTCTCAACAGGGCCAAGAGGTAGTAAGTAGGTCAGTTCTTACTAACCTTATTTTACAGATGGGAAATATCATAATGATTAATGGATAATATTTAGTGTAGAACATTTCACATATTTTATTTCACTTTATTTTTGCAGATAGCTGCTGCTATTATCCCCATTTTACAGAGGAGAGAATGGAGGCTAAAAGAATTTAGGCAACTTGCCCAGAGTAACACAATTAGCAAGCATCTGAGGCAAGATTTGAACTCTGGTCCTCCTGATGCCAAATATGGCATTCAATCCACTATGTCACCTAGCTGCCTAAGAATCTGGGGTTCAGGGAGATAAATCAACTTGACTAAAGGCAAACAATTTGGCCCAGGAATGGAACCCACATCTCTTGGCTCCAAATCTTGTGACTATGTTAAACAGAAGCCAACATGCTGGATAAACACATGAAAATATGTCATACATTTCTAAGAAAATCTGAAGTGCTGAATGAAAGAGACCACTTCTATCCTGGCTTCCAGTGACCTAGAAAGGCTTTAAGACTACGAACTGTGCCAACTCTTTGTTCCAAAACCTTTGCATCAGGGGGCTTGCCCACTTGAAATACTTAGACGTGATAAAAGTTTCTCCTTGTATATGGAGCAATAAAGCTGGACCAGTGGTTGACAGTCCAAGTGGTTTCTCCATGTGGTGCACTGGTCAAAGAACATCTATTTCATCACATGATTCCATGTCAATGGCTTCACTCTCAGGCCAAAATCCTTCTGTGCTCACTTAAGTCCTTACTAAGGTCTTCATTATTTTTTAATTCTTTACCAGGGACAAATATCTTACCAGAGTAGGGAAGGTTGGAAGTCACCAAAGACAAATTCTGGTTGCTAATTTCATAAGTTTGCTTAGGTGTGACTCTGGCTGAGCACAGTAAATTCAGACGATAACTACTCAATTAATTTCTTAGCTTTACATGTGTTGATGGTTTTGATGGTACCAGGCTGGTTGATGTGTTTTCTAAACAAATATTTTGATTCAAACACTCCCTCACTTGGGTGTATCTATCCGACAGAGGACACTTTGTTCAAGGAAGGGAAGTTATTTCAATTTTGAACTTCTGCTGGAAGTTTTTTTTCTTTTTCAACATTATGAAATATCTTATTTGGCAGAGCTCCTTAATTGAATGACGTCTAAACGGCTTCTGTAGCAGAGATACTCATCAATATAAAGTAATGTGGGAAAAGACAAAGGCAGTAATTATTACCAAAATCCAGACCACAGTCTATTTAGTGAAAGATTGTGGTACAGATAAAAAAATCTGTTTACTGACAGCCCAGGATCCAAAACCCCCTCAAAAAATCCCAGCACCAAATTTTAGTCTGTGCAATGATGAAAATCAACAAAGTTCAATTTTGTGGTTGAACCAATAAGTAAGGCAATAATTTCATTTCTGCACAGTGAATCTAGCAAAGCTGGGGGACAATATTCTCTTGAATGTGAGAACAGAGAGACTGGCTTGGGGCCTGCTGTCCCCTGCAGGCAAATTCCTTCAGCAAGTCATTCATTTTTCATATTAGTCTATATGACACTGCTCTTGTCTAATGAAAACAAATTCTAATTGCATCAGCTAGAAAGGGAAAATGATTAAAAATCCCAGAAAAGAGGAATCAAAGGCACCTAGGTTCTATTTTTGTTTTCTTATCAGCTTATGGGGGAATAAAATAAAAAATAAAACACTGAAAACAAAACCACATTAAAGGCAAAAAATTCCGATACCTGCTAGCTATCTGGATTCAGGAAATTGATGTGGGTAACACAGGCAAACCCAGCCTTTCTGAAATAAGGCTGCTTTCTGACTTGAAATAAAAATGGTTTTAAAAAAACTCCTGTGTTGAGTATCAGTCAGTCAACAAGCATTTTACTGTATTTTAGACAGAATGCTGGCATCTCACAATGAGACTAGCTTAGAAGACTACATATATATATATATAGAGAGAGACTATACTTAGAAGAAAAAAAAAAGGAAAAAGGACTGTTGTTCACTAAAGGGAGTAGCATCTCTTTCTTATTGATTAGAAACTAAGAATTGTGTGATACAAACAACCCAAACACGATGGATCCTCAGAAGGGCTGGTGAGCTTGCGTGTGCTCAGAGACATTTCAATCTTTTTTTTTTCCCCTCTTAAAAAAAAATATGGACACACAATACAAGAGGACTCAGGAAGCATGAATAATTCCTGCTTCCCCCAACCCCCCATCCCTTTTCTCTGCTTATAACCCCTCCAACCTCTACTCCTCTGGAAAAGCTTATAAAGAAATTGGAATGAAACCAAATTCTCTTTTCACCTTGCATTAGACTTCTAAATTTCAGTCTTGGCTTTGTTTTCTAACTAAGTGATTATGACAGTTTTTGAGGCCTTGGGCAATCAAGATGCCTATCTATGTACAGTTTTAGGCAGGACTGGGCAACCCCAGAGGGCAATGCCCCATTTTAATCCTGTAGTCAATTTTTTTTAAGTGAGCTATAGATGGACTAAGAGAGGCAGCTTTTTAACTGGTATCTCTAAAACTCCAGCTCCTAGCCTTGGCTTAGTTTTCGTGACTCTGAGGGGTCTCAATGGAGTCAAGGGTAAAGCAACCCCCCCCCCCCCCCCCCCCCCCGCATAGAATTCTGAAGTCCTACCTTTGTAAATTCAAGTGGGGTCATCTGGATTTGGAAGCAGGTGAGGAGGGCCTAAAGAGCCAGATTAAGGGGCACTAAACACAACCTAAGTGGCCACTAGAATGAAGAAGCAGGCCTATATTAGATTGCATGCTGTTTTGGGGAGGTGGACAAATTTAGAACTCAAAATCTTATAAAAGTGAATGTTGAAAACTAAAAATAAATTTAAATTAAAAACACAATTGATTTTTTTGGCCCTAAAAAAAAAAAAAGAATAAAAGAAGCAGTAAGCAGCTGCAGTTTAGGGACCTTTCTCATTTCCTCCAGATCTAAGGATGACCTCTAAACAGTGATTATTTTAGTTTTTGCTTCTTGGAAGAAAGAAAACCTTCACTTTTTTTTTTTGCAAGGCAATCTGAGTTAAGTGACTTGCCCAGAGTCACTTTTCACGTGTCGGAGGCCAGATTTGAACTCAGGTTCTCCTGACTCCAGGGCCATGCTTTGTCCACTGTACCACCTAACTGTCCCCAGAAAGCCTTCACTTTATAGCTGTAAGGGTTGCTGCTTACTGTGACTATCCTGGTAAGCACAGCAGGCTATGGCTGCTAGTGACCACAGGTGTGTTAATACTGACATCTCTAGCTCTTAAAGCCTAGGGCCCATTTTTCAATGTTCCTCAAGTCTGAGGGGTCTTTCTCTCTCAGTGTGGCTAAAAAATGCAGCCACTTCTATACCAGCCCATTACACTTAACCCTTCCACAAGGCAGGGGTTAGGGGTGTGGTGGCTGCCCCACCCCCCTTTCCCACAATCTGGAAAATCTATGTAAAATTTTTTGGCCCTCCCTTCATACTAGAGAAGAAAGTGTATATTTATGTTATTAAAAGATAAAATATGTTGATATTATACAATAATATACATATATTTTATGCATTTCTGAGTTTCTAAACATTTTCTGTGTTCTCTGCTGGCCTTCGAGAGTGGTCTGCACCTTGTACAAAACTGCAAAATTCTCATTTAATTTCTTATGCCACTATTTTCATTTTTCTCGGGTTTTTTTTTGGTGGTTTTTCCCTTTTGTTCTGTTTCTTCTTTCACAACATGACTAATGTGGAAGTGTATATGGCATGATTGCACATATATAACTTATATTGGATTGCTTGCTGTTTTGGGGAAAGGGCAGGGAAAGGAGCGAGAAAAATTTGGATCTCAAAATGTTATAAAAATGAATGTCGAAAACTATCTTTCCATGTAATTGGAAAAAATTAAACACTATTTACAAAAAGAAAAATTTCTCATGCTGATTCCAGTGCCCAGCATTGAGCTTTGTACATATTTATTATTTAATAAATGCCTGTTGAATCTAATCAAATTATCAGCTGATTTCATGTCCTAAGCTCTAAAATGGGATGGGGCCTCAGAGGCCGTCTAGTACGACCCTCTCATTTTACAAATGAGGAGACTAAGGCCTAGGGACGTTCAGCAATTTGCCCAAGGTCACACAAGTATCAAGCTATCAGAAGTTGGATTTGAACCCAGATCCTGACTCCACAATCAAGATTCTTCCCATTATACCAAACTCTTGTTGTTCAGTTATTTTTCAGTTATGTCTGACTCTCTGTGACCCATTTAGGGTTTTCTTGGCAAAGATATTGAAATGGTTTGCCATTTCTTCCTCCGGTTCATTTTACAGGTGAGGAAACTGAGACAAACAGAGTTAAGCGACTTGCCCAGGGTCACACAGCTAGTGAATGTCTGAGGCTGGATTTGAACTCAGGTCTTCCTGGCTCCAGTCCTAGCATGCTATCCACTGTGCCACTTAGCTGCCTCTGTACCAAATAACCTTCTTTGAAAATTCCATAAACGAGGCAGCTAGGTGGCGCAGTGGATAGAGCTCTAGCCTTGGAGTCAGGAGGACCTGAGTTCAAATCTGTTCTCAGACACTTAACACTTACTAGCTGTGTGACCCTGGGCAAGTCACTTAACCCCGATTGCCTCACCAAAAAGAAAAAAAAAAATCCATAAATGATAAGTCTCAAAAACCTTGGTCTTTGAATGTAATAATTACATTTTAAAATAAAATTTATTTACAAAATAATCTATTCATGATTGCACATACATAACCTGCATTAATTGCTTATTGTCTTAGGGAGGGAGAAAATTTGGAACTCAAAATAAAAAAAATGCATATTGTCTTTACATGTAATTGGGAAAAAGAAAATATTTAAAAAAAGAAAAAAAAAACCAAAATAATCTCTTCAAGTAGGAAGTGATACCACGGAATTATCCTCAGATAATGGATTTTTTAAAAAATCACAACACTCCCTCGATAACATGAAACTGTTTCATATTAAATATCTACATGTAAACGAGGCCATACTAAGTGTCGCATGGCACAAAGAATACAGTCCCATCCCTCTGGGATTTAAAGCACAATTACATCGACTGGTCTCTGTTTTAATAATTTTTGAATAGCTAAATTGATTTTGTTCTTAGCTTAGTTTTGTATGTAGAGAACCCCTTCAGTGACCAGAATTTGGTCTCGTAACTAAAGGAACAAAGATGATTCTGTCTCCTCCCCTTCGTTACCCTGAACTACACTATCATTTATTGTTATTTTGTAATAGTTATTATTTATTTTATATATTTATTTAATGCCATAAAGTTTGGCATCGTGCCTTGCCATGTGGATTGCTGTTCTTAGCTCAAATTGTTAAGTTATTCTGGGGGTGCTTTTTTTAAAACTTGACATTTAAATACAGACAATGTCTGTACCATACTGTTAAAGTTCAACCACACATCCTTCCTTTCTGTTATCTATGGGCAACTACAGAAGTGAAAGGTGAATCACCCTATTAGGTGGTTTTCCTGAACTGTTTTGGGGAAATATAATTTGTGTGTGGGGGATTTGCTCAGGTGTTTCTGGGAAGTTTCTAAAATGTGGAAAAGAAATATATTTACAAAAACAAAAGAACTGACATGAAAGGACTGTGGATAAAGTGAGAAGGGTATGAATTATAAATCAATGCAGTCTATGGAAAGGTTAATTCTGACATAAATCTTGTTGCTGTTTTGTAAAATTCTGATTTTGTTCATCGTGATATTTATGTCTTTGTGGGTCTAGATTTTTGTATTCTTCTTAATGAATAGAGTTAGAAATTACCTGTTCTTCTTCTTCACTGCCTGTTCCAGCTAAACTCAAAGAGCTAAGATGCTTGTGAGGGTCAGAGAACTGTGGAATGGAATGAGGGAGAGATTCAGTCAAAGATGAACAATGAGGTGGATTACAAGACAGATAACACACCTAGATGCAATACAAAAGTAACATAAAATACTCGTAGTATTCGATATTAAGAAGCCAAACTTGAACATAAAAAAAAAAGGTACAGAAAAAGAATGAAGGTCTAATCTAAGTATTATGCTATTCAAGTTACACGTTGTTATTATTTTGATATTATTTAGATTACAATTGAAATACTAACAGTATTCCTTCTGTATCATAAAGAATCACGGCATTTAAGAGGGAAGGTTTGCTATGGATCTGGGAGCCAGGAAAAATTAGACCAACTCTATGCAAATCACAGGATGGGAAAGCTGGAAAGGAGAGTTCAAAAGCTATCTAATTCAATTCCCACATTTCACAGATGAGATAATTGAGGACCACAGAGGTTAAGTGATTTCCAAAAGTCATAAAACCTAGTGAGTGCCAGAGCTGGGATTTGAACCTGGGTCTCCCAGGCCAGAATCTTCTCAACACTCTGTTGTTTGTTTTCTTTCTCTTTCCCTTCTCCCCTAAAAGAGAAATGGGATGATAGGCCTAAAAAGAGAACTGAAACAATAAACTATAAATTGAGATATCCGAGACCTAGTTTCAATGCCATACAGTCTTCTATCTCTTGCTTAGTCACAACAAAATCCAAATGATACAGTGGGGATGCCACTATGAGTCATTACTAGGAGAATATTCTTTCCCCTCCTTGCTTCAGTGTACGAGGGTGTTCCAAATCTCAGTTTCTGTTGCATATGTAATCCAGAACAATATGGAAGTTGGATCCCCCACCCCTTAACTCATGATCACATCACTATCTGTGTGAGAAAGTGACAGGAGAAATTTCCTTCATTCCTTTTACCAAAGCAGATCTGCAACTTTCTTCAATTTATAGCTTTGAGGTTTGTCTGGGGCACTATGGTTAGCTCGTATAGGAAGTCTGACTTCAAGACTGGCCCTCAAGCCATTATACCAGGCTGTTTTTTTTTCATAAGAAAACTGTAGGGCAATAAATAGCAGACTCCCTAAAACTACATTTATCTGTGTGTTTCCTAATGTTGTATGGATGCAAATAACATCTGTTCAATCTATCACAGTAAAATAAAGACTTGTCAGATTCTATATTCCAGTATCTTAAAAAAAAAAAAGCTTTACCCTATTATTCATGTTTATATCTTTAACCACAAGGCTCTTCTGACTTACATGTAGCTTTGAGTAATAATCCTACCCTTACCAATCATGTGAATGCTGGAAAATTTGCATATACTAAAAGTTGTAGGAATAAATTTGAAAGTTATCTTGGAAATTTGAGCTGTTAAGTTAATGAACTGCATTATTTGGGCCTAGGAAGTTACTTATTGAGTTTATTTTTTCTAGCTCCAATGGACAACACTAAAGGTAAATTCCCCCATCCACATACCAAGATATGGATGTCTATGATGGAAGGAAGGAAACAGCATTTATTAAGTACTTACTATGGACCAGGAATTGTACTAAGCACTTTACAAATATTATCACATTTAATTCATTTAAAATCTCTGAGAGGTAGGTGCTATTATTATCCCTATTTTTCAGTTGAGGAAACTGAAGCAGATAAGTTCACACAACTGGTGTCTGAAGTCTTCCTACCTCTGGATCCATTTTTCTATCTACTGTGCCTCCTTCCTGCCTCTGTAAACATATATTGTTCAGTCCTGTACGACTCTGTGACTCAATGGATTTGTCCGTGGAATTTTTTGGCAAAGATACTGGAGTGGTTTGCCATTTCCTTCTACAGTGTGTCTCCATTTTACAGATGAGAAACTGAGGCAAATAGGGCTTATGTGACTTGCCCAAACTCACACAGCTAGTATGTGTCTGAGGCCAGATATGAACTCAGATCTTTCTGACTCCAGACCTGCTGCTCTATCCACTTAACTTCTTGGCTATCTCATAAACACATAAGTACTAGTGTATGTGTGGGTACATAACGAGCCCATAAATATTTAAAAAATCTATTTGTTAAATGTTAAATGGCCCTATCCATTTTTACCTACACCAGTTTTTGACCCTCTGGCATCCTGACCCTATCATATTTCTATTCAGAACCCTAAAACTCTTCTGTCCTAAACAGAAACGTATAGTCATGTACATTCAATGCTTACCCAGAAACACAAATTATTCACAACCTCACAAACACAAACTAGAAAAAAGAGGCAGAATTCGTTTCATTTCATTGAAACTAGCTATCTGGTCTAAACAATTTATGACCAGATAGATATAATCATAGATTTAGAGCTGGGAGGACTTCAAAGGTCACCTAGATTAACCTCCCCCCTTCTTTTGCAGTTGAGGAAATCCAGGTTATTTTAAGTGATTTGCCCATAGTCACATAAGGAAAAATTAACAGAGACAAAAACTGAGGCAAAATGAAGTAAGAACCAAGAAAAAAAATCCACAATAGCTACAACAGTGCCAATGAAAAGAACAATAGGACAAAGCTGAATGCTATGTAATTATGCCCAAGGTTAGCCCTGGGGTAGAGATGAGGAAAAGTACTTCCCTCTCTTCACTGGAGAGCTGGAGGACCAGTAAGATGGACTGTTGCATATACTGGCAGAGGAGGTGGCTGTGGCAAGGTGTTTTTCTTAAATGTGTTTCAAGAAATGTTGTGACACCCATCCCCGTCCCTCTATGTTAACAGCATCCTGCATCATGGTATCTGAATCATCTCTAAAGAAGGACCCACTTTCAGCTCAAAGGATAAAAACCAAGTGTAGCCAATGGCCCCCATACCCCCAATCCATCCAAGGACTGATCTAAGCAATAAAATCTGCTGGCACTTCTCTACCATAGACGCATGTGCCCTTTGGGAATAATCTGAAAAGGAAGGAGTGCAGGTACCCCAAGAAACATCTAGTTGCCCTTCGTGACTGAAATGGGTCACAAGCACAAGAGGCTGATGGTGATACTTGCCTTTGTTGCTGTGCTGGCATTTATATCATGTAATAAAGATATTTCTGGAGGACTCCTGGGTAACCCATCATCTTCAGAACTCATGCCGGCATCATCTCCCCGTTTTGTGGGAATCCCACACGGAGGAGGGGGTCCCAGCTTCACATTATACTGAATTTTCATCTGTAATGGAAAAAAAAAGAAATATTCTCTTAAGTTGATACCTAACATTTATTAACAGGAATTTTTTTTGGGGGGGGCTGATATAACTGATAATGACTGATTTTTAAAAAATCATCTATAGAATCAATAATGTTACTTAAATGTCTTCTCTGTGCTAAGGCTCCATGCTAGGTGCTAAAGATTGAACTAAGAAACCTACTCTGCTAAGTCTATGCCCCTTCATCACAATGTTTCAGAAATGATTAACTCTGGAGCTGTAATTATGATGGACAAGGATAGAATTTTTTTGAGAATGAATTATTTTACTAACAATGAATGGAAAAGTGCTCATAGTAGAGAAACTTCTAATGAAGTCCTGCTCTGTTGCATCAGTTTGTCATGGGTCCTCAAAGACTATGGCAAGTGGTATCCCAAGTACTTGTGGGTCCAACCCAAGGTGGGAAGGCTTCAGGTATGAGCTGGGCAATGGATACCACTGGAGACCAGATGACCTAAATTTGGAGAGTACAGTTGAATTTAAACTCCTTGAAGGGACCATTTTTCATTTTTGTCTTTTCATTTTGCAAAGTAGCCCTTGTACCTTACACAGAGCAGTGGCTTAACAAATGTCAGTTGGATTTGGATTGAACTGAATTCCTGAATTGAACTCACCAAATGAAAAATTTCAGGGCCCCAGCAACTCTTGAAACCATATACTAAGAAGTGGAGAGGCTGTGATCTGGGTTGATAAAAGGTGTAGAGTACTCCCAGAGATGAAATCATGATCTTCTGAGTGACAAAGTAGCATCCAAATGACCCAAATCATCATAGTAACATATTAAGAAATATCTCAACTCCACATCTCATATGTCACTGCTTGGAATATTACCTGTAAAGCTCTGATCCTCTCAGAAACATTTTCCTGAGAAAACACCCGAGCTGGCCTGGGGGGGTCTTGACCTGTCTCGGGAATGAAAATGCTGTCGTGTGAAAGGGCTCGGCTCCCCAAGGTACCCTTGTGATCCCTAGGATAGAAAAGATAAGTTCACACTATGCATGCTTTCATTCCTTCCTAATCACTCCATGCCTCAGTGATAAGAACCACAGAAAACGTAAATTGTGGCTTGACCACATAAAAAGACCAATATTGGGACTGTTGTTCCCAATGACACCATCTTTGTATTGTCAAAGACCAACCCTCAGGCCCTCCAGGAGCACAACAGTCAGTCAAGCAGTCTTTAAGAAACACTCTCTACATGTCAGGTACTTCAGAGACACGAATTCTCATAGTAGAAATGAGATATGTGATACGGAAGATGCAAACTTTATTTAAAAAAAAAAGTAGGACAGGAACGATGACCCCAAGAAAGCAGAATGAATAAGAACAGCTCAAAACCAATCTCACTTCTGACCCCTCTCCACTCTAAGTTATATGGAAAATCTGGAGAGAATGAAGTCATTTCTTGTATGTAAGCAAGCAGGCGCTCTGGCTCCCAAGTAAAGAAGCTATTCTGGAGGCTGTGTTTGCACAGCAGGCTGGGTGAACTGGCTGCCTGATAGTCTGGTCACAAGATTAGACAAAATATCCACCCATGTCCTGGCATCTGGGTTTAGCAAATGGCATATTTGAATGGAAATTTCAAATTTGTAAATCCATAGTCCCTTTTTATTACTCTATGCAATACAGGAACATGGGCGCACTCTCAAATGTAATATGGGGATATTACCAATTTTTTAAAATCATTCTTTTCTTGCTGGCCTCTAATCTTAATTCTGACACCCCACTACTCCCTTCCCCCACCAACTAGGCATTAGTTTGGAACAGGATTCACGAGGAATAAATGGAGGATGTATTCTCAATAAAGGATGCAGGAATTAATAGTCATATTTTCCTAGCAATGGTGGCCACTCAAACAATAGGTGGAAAAGGATCTATTTTAGACACCTGACAATGAAGGAAGGAAAGCTTGTCTCAGTACACCGAAGTGAAGATATTGCCAATTTTTTTTCATTTGTGCATGTGAAAATTTGACCTCAGTAATCTGCCAACAGCCTTGAAGGCTATTTTGTGAAGCGTTGCTTGCAAAATGAATACCACCCCAAGGAAGTCCGTGCAGTTCTATGAATTCACATTCTTCCAAACTTCAAATAGCACTCAAATGATAAACAACCCCTAGGCACGGAATCACAGAATCTCCAAATTAGAAGGAAGCTTGGAGGTGATATGTAATTCAACTTTTACCTTAAGTCTGAATTCCCTCTACAACATCTTCAATGGATTGTCTGTACATGTGAGTCTGTGTGTGTGTATGTGTATGTGTATGTGTATATATACATATATATACATATATATATATATTATACACACACACATAATGGTATATAAAAAGTTCAGCTTTAGTGTGAGGGTCTCTAGGATGCAGATTACTGCATTGTTTGGGCAACAACTTCAACTTTTTTTTAACTTTTATATCAGTTGCCCCAGTCAGTTTCTTTGAAGTGGGACAATATCCTTATGGGTTTTTCCAATAAGGAACTTAGAGGCCACATGACCTACCGAGGTAGTCTATCTTACTTTTGCACAGCTCTAATCGTTAAGCAATATTTCCCCAATTGAGCTAAAATCTGCCTCCCTGCATTTGTCTTAGTTTTGCTTGTGAGGGCCACACAGAACAAACCTTGATTAAATCTTTTCCACATCAGGCTTCAAATACTTGAATAGGATCATGGCCTAATGTGGCCATCCCTACTATGGCAGGGATGCCAAGGCTGGTGGATTACTTGAGCTCAGGAATTCTGAGCTACAATGCACTAAGCTGAATGGTTTTCTGCCCTTAGTGAAGCACCAATAAGGAGAGGCCCTGGGAGCAGGCAGCCACCAGACTGCCCAAAGATGGGTGACAGACTTAAGTGAGAAGCAGAGCAGGTCAAAGCCTTCATGTCTATCAGTAGCGGGATCTGGTCCATGAATGGCTGTCTTTTCAGCCTGAGTGAGATAGGAATACCCAATCTCAAAAAAATCAGAAAAGAAAGAAAAAGAAAAAATGAATACAGAGATCATATCTCTTCTGAAGTCTTTTGCTTGTTTAGCCTGTCCTCACATGGCATGGTTTAGAATTGGGGTTCTTAACTTTTGTGTTAAGGATCCTTTAGAAGAATAGGATAGAATAGATAAAATAGGATAGAAAAGGAAACCAATTACACTGAAATACAGTTATCAAGATTTTTTCCTAAAAAAACAAAAAAACAAAACAAGTTCATGGATTCCCCTGTTTAGTATATCCTCAGTATCTTAGTTACCTTCTTTTGCACATGATTTTATACCTCAGGCATTTTACCTTTAATTGAACATGATACTCTAGATATGACTCAACCAGAGCAGAGCACGGTGGGACTGATACCCTCCTTGTGTTAGATGCTATGCTTCTATTCATGCAGCCTAAGATAGAGCAGAGGTGAAACTTGAACTCAGTTCTGACTTTGAGGTCTGCTGTCTATCTGCTACGTAGTATTGCCTTTCTACTGGTATTGTGGAAAGAACCTGAGGACCAAGATTCATATCCCTCCTCTGATTACTTACTACCTGTGTGATCGACATTCCTGGGCCTCATTTCCTAATCTCTAGGGAACTGGCCTAGATGTCTTCTTTCCAGTTCTGAATTTATGATTCTACATAAATATATGCAACATATTTATATATGATGATGCATACAATAATGGAACTACATCGCATTTTACTGCTAGGGTGTGCCAGACAAATAATGAAATGAGAAAGTTTATATTCCCTGACAACCTAAAATAAACATAGCAAGAAATGGTAGAAGTTAAGCACAATACTTCTTTTTTTTTTTTTAAGGCAATTGGGGTTAAGTGACTTGCCCAGGGTCACACAGCTAGTAAGTGTCAAGTGTTTGGTCTGAGGCTGGATTTGAACTCAGGTTCTCCTGACTTCAGGGCCGGTGCTCTATCCACTGTGCCACCTAGCTGTCCCTAAGTACAACACTTTTGATCAAACTGGATGCAGATTATTGCATTGTTAGGTCAACAACTTCAGTTTTTTTACTTATATACCAGTTGCCCCAATATCCAGTAGGCACAGCCTCAGCCAGTTTCTTTGAAGGGAGAGCAATACCCAATAAGGAAGTGTACAATTAATAGCATTCTATTCCCAAAATGCTGACAGAAGGCTACTAGAAAGTTTTGGATGCGAATTGTGGATTCTAGACCTCAAAATACTGATGATTGTGCTACTTGATATCACACACAAAAAAAAGAAAGAATGAGCAGAAAGGAAGGAAAGAAAGAAAAAAAAAGAACGAAAAAATAATTCAAATCTCCCAAAGACATTTTAGTTGTTTGCTGCCACCAAGTGGTCATTCTTAGGTAAGTGAAACATTTTGGTAAACAATTCAATTGGGCATTTATTAGGGTACCAGTGCATCCAGCACTAGTAAAATTAACATGAATGGGGGACAATGACGTTTACTTGGCTTCTCATTAACTTTCTAATCCTGGGGAACTGCTATCTTTCCTAAAAATTCTCGGCTAAATTTAAGATGATTTTTTTAAGCCGTTTTAAAAGTTGTTTTTATTTCCTGTAGGTCATAGTTATTTTTGGGAATTTTTTTTTACAGCACGTGAATCAGCATGGTATAGCGGATAAAGAGCTGGCCCTGGATCTGGGGAGAGACAATTTGAATCCTGAGTCTGACACATACTGTCTGTGTGACTCTGGACAAGTCTTTTAACCTCTGCGCGCTCTGGTCAACTTTAAGACTATCTAAGTAGCTCACTGGCACTGAGATAAAGTTTCCTGATCTGGGAGTTCCCTATTATCAATGAAATCATAGGACTACTACGTATCTCTATCCCTATTCTATTCTCAGTGCTATACACATTATTACTTAATAAATGCTTTTCATTTATTCAAGACTCCTCTTTAAATAAATGGCCTTCCCTAAATGGATTCTCTTTCTAAGAGATCAAAGTCTGACAAGATCTAAGAAGATTTTTAGGTAAAAATTATCACCACAGGAGAAGATGTAAAGACAGAAAACGCCATTCTATGGAAGAACAGAACTATTCAGGAGAATCTTAAGATAATAAAAATGTTAGAACTGGAGAGACCTTAAAAAGCAACTAATTAAAAAAAAATAAGAAAACAATCTAAAAAAGTAAGAAAAAGGAAAGCAACTAATCTAAAAAATTTTTAAAAATCAACTAACCTAACTCTAATTAATAGTTGGAGATTCTGAAGCCCAGAGAGAGAAGTGAATAACTTCCAAGTCACACAAGTAGTAAATAAAGTATTCCCTCCTAGGCCTCGATTCCTAAACCAAGAAAGGTCAGGGAAACAAAGTAAGAGAAAAACTTATATGTCTAGAAATTCCTTCCAGATCATAGGGTCCCAATAATAATTACAACTATAATAGCACTTATATAGTACTTTAAGGTTTGCAAAGCACTTTACAAGTATTATCTCATTTGATCCTCACAACAACCCTAGGAGGTAGGTGCTATTACTACCCTCATTTTATAGATGAGAAAATTGAGGCAGATATTAGTTAAATGACTTGCCCAAATATCTGAAGTCAAATTTGAACTCAGGTCTTCTTGACTACAGGTCCAGCGATCTATCCATTGTACTACCTCTGAACATTTGTTGTGGTTCAGTCATTTTAGACACGTCTGACTCTTTTTTCTTGGCAAAGATACGAGTAGTTTGTCATTTCCTTCTCCAGCTCATTTTACAGATGAAAAAAACAGAGTTAAGTGACTTGTCCAGGATCACAGAGTGAGTAAGCATCTAAGACCAGATCTGAACTCAGAAAGATGAGTCTTCTTGATTCCAGGCCCAGTGCTCTCTCCACTGCACTACCTAGCTGCCAATTGTACTACTTAGCTGCCTAATGTATAATAATCCATGCCCAGCCTTAGTACAGTCCCTGACATATATAAGCGCTTATTAAAAGTTTATGAACTGACTGGCCAATAAAAGGCAAAGTCCAGTCCCTGTAACTTACTCAAGTTCATCCTCTGAGTCGTAGCCAACGGGCAGAGATGCTGGAGCAATGACATCACTCTCTGATTGGCTCGGCTTCCAGCTGCTGCTACCTGCAGATGTTGAGGTCTCTTTTCTCTTCTTCTTCCCCCCAAAGAATTTTTTTAAAGTTTTGAACTTGGACTTCTTCTTTCCTAAATGAGATAGACAAACAGACAAATGTGTGTGCACGGAAAAAGTTAGTATCCTTTTGCTTCCATATGCTTCAACACACCTAAGGGACAACTGAAAAACACCAAGCAGAATAGAATTTTGGGGCCACCTTTTTTATTTTCCTGCTCCTTTGGTCTACCACTAATTTTTTTTTGTTTGTTTTAGGCAATTGGGGTTAAGTGACTTGCCCAGGGTCACACAGCTAGTAAGTGACTAGTGTTTGGTCTGAGGCCGGATTTGAACTCAGGTCCTCCTGACTTCAGGGCCGGTGCTCTATCCACTGCGCCACCTAGCTGCCCCAATCTACCACTAATTTAAATGTTGGCACTCTAAATGTGGGATCTTTATCTAATGACTAAAAAGAGGTACTACTGGATCAACTGAACCATTTCCAATAAACATTCTCACTATAAATGAAAACAGAAAGACAAGGTGTAGAATGGTTCAATTTTTTTTTTTCAGAGAAAGAAATAAAGGAACTGGTAGAATGGATTTCATCCTGCTACCAAAGGTTACTTCTACGAAAAGTGACTACATGTGACACTTGATCGTATGACCTGGAAATGATCTTTGAGTGTAAACAAATAAATCACCATAATTTCAGTCTATGTACTCTACGTGTGCCATATGTTGCAGAGGAGGAAGAGAAATTATATGAAGAACTTGAAAAAAATTTTCCAAACCAAGTCAACATATACTTGGTGACTTCAATGGGAAGATGATTACAGGGTGAAAAATATACTGAAGAATATGGTTCAGGATTACAAAATGAAAGAGGCTAAAAGTTTATAGATTATCAGAAATCTCATGATTTCATATTATGTGAGATTCTGACTTTGTTCAAGTAGAAAGTCGTAAGCTACATATAACAAGTGGCAAACATCAGCCCTCAAAATGAAATGAACTCTATCTTAACAGGCAAGAAATAATGGGTTACCAATGAGATTCACTTCTGAATCTGTGGTCTGTACAAAGCCAGATCTTTAACTGTTCAGAAGTTAAAATTAATTGTTGTTGAGTTGTTTTTTAGTCGTGTCTGACTCTTTGTGACCCCATTTAGGGTTTTGGTTTTTTTTGGACAAAGATAGTGGAAGTGGCTTGTCATTTCCTTCTCTAGCTCATTTTCCAGATGAAGAAACTGAGGCAAACAGGGTTAAGTGACCTGTCCAGGATCACACCGGTGGTAAGTATTTGAGGGCAGATTTTAACTGAGGGAGATGAGTCTTCCTGGCTTCAGGGATGCCACTCTATCCACTGTGCCAAATAGCTACCAAATTAAAAATTAGTCAAGACAACAAATATTTCTTAGGCATCTACCATGTTCAAGACACTGGTGCTAAGCGCTGGGGATACAAAGAAATGCAAACAAATGGTAAAAAAACAAAAACAAAAACAAAAAAACACCAGTCTGTTCTCAAATTGCTCACAGAAAGAAAGTTGAGAAGATACAGAGCAAATTATCTAACCTAGTTCCAACCTAACCTCTATTAATCAGCTGTTGATTCTGATAAATAGGAAAAGGACTGAAAAGTCAAAGAAAAAAAGGAAAGAAAAAACTTAAAAGTTAAGACATTGGCTCTAATAACTGCTATTTCTTAAAGAGTTTTGACAATCACTACAAAGAAGAGACCAAGAGTCCAGAAACGGGTTTCAGCCAACAAACACAATCTCTTTGCCAAGCAAAAAAGACAAGACTGCCAAGGATAATACCAACTCAGAATACAGGCTCATTTGTAAAACAGGGAAGATGAATATACAGTAAGGGCAGTGTTTTTTTTAAAACATGGAAAAGCAGTGGTAGAAATAACAAGCCTGTAATCAGTGTTAGGCCCAATTAAGTCATGCCATGGAAGGAAGCAAACAAATATATGTGAAATGAAACAGATCTGCCATCATTCCCATAATGGTCTATTTTTATCATCAATGACAGTGGAAGCATCACATTTGGATTCTAACACATAATACCTGATATGTCAGAATATTAAGTGGAAATGGCACTGAAGAAAATGAAGTCAGAAGTCAGGAAGAACAATCAGACCTAACTACATGCTGTACATAGATACAAAGAAAATTATACTGGAGGTGATAGAATTAAAGGTACTTGGGGGCCAATCTACAACATAACCCAGAGAAGATTCTAATAGAATACACAAAATTATGGATGATATCTCTTCTGTTTTTTGCACATGGAAATGTTTATGTTAGTTGATGCTTGTCACCTTCATAATACGAAAACAAAATCTGCAAGTTTTTAAAAAAAAGGATTGTGTGGAATAATTACACCAAAAAATGACCACTGAGAAGACTTCAGCAACTACCAACCCAATTGTTTGCTTTTTCATCTCTCTAAAACCTTTAAGAGAATGGTCAACATACACAAGTTCAAGGGTTTCCTTGCTGAAAATAACCACAGAGATTTAGTTCAAGTTAAGGAGACATATACTTGCTAAAGGAGTTGACAGTGTCATAAAAGATATTTAAAAGCAAAATTAAAAAGGAATTCCCTACAGAGTAGAAGTTCTTAACCTGGAGTTCATGAACTTATTTCTTTAAAAAGCATTTTGATAAGTGTATTTCAACATGAATTTCTTTTGTAATCTAATGAATTTTATTTTATGCATTTAAAAACATTATTCTGGAGGGAGTTAGGTGGCACAGTGGATTGAATGGATTGAAAGTCTTGCCAAGTTTTTCTGAAATCCACCATTAGCATGCTTTTAATTGTTGTTATGTGTATTAATTACTAAAGGATGAAAATTCTTTAAATTCAAAGACTCCAGTAATATAAGATGATTTTTTCCCTACCTTATTCATTCTGCAACTTTTAAATTCTTTAAAATTTCTTATTATTGTGCTATAAGAAAAGAAGAGCAGGCAGATTTCAGAAAAACTTGGAAAGACTTACATGAATTGATGCAAAGTGAAGTGAGCAGAACCAGAACATTGTACGATGATCAGCTATGATAGACTTGGTTCTTCTCAGCAATGCAATGATCTAAGACAATTCCAAAAGACTCATGATGGAAAATGCTATTCCTGTTCAGAGAAGGAACTGACAGAGTCTGAATGCAGATCGAGGCATACTGTTTTCACTATTTTTTTTAGTTTTATATAGTTGTTTTTAAAAAAATATTTATTATATTTTTTCCTTTTGTTCTGTTTCTTCTTTCACAACATGACTAATATGGAAATGTTTTATATGATTGCACATATATAACCTATATCAAATTGCTCACCATCTTAGGGAAGAGGGAGAAAATTTGGAACTCAAAATTTTATAAAGAAATGAGTGTTAAACTGTCTTCACATGTAATTGGAAAAAATACTACTTAAAAGAAAAAAATAAAATTCTCTTGGTTAATTAAGAGAACCCTTCCCTCCCTAAAGAGAAGGCTACTTGCAATTATACAGGAAATATCACCCTACCCATTTAAGGCCATTCAAAACTACTGGGGTTATTTTTACCTTAAGCAAATCTCTGCCATACACAGGAAAACCACTTCTGATGCCATTCACTGATATTCAAAATTATCAAAAAAGGTTCTCAAAACCAAACCATCTTGTCTCACAAATATCCATTTGTTGCTTTATCTACTTTCCTGATCATAATTTTCTGATCATTAAGTGATAACTTGATTATTTCTACTACTAATAGACCCTTCTCACCTCTTTCTTGGAGCACATAATAGATTTTGACTCAAAACCTTTCAACAAGGCAGCATGTGCTAATAATGAGAGACGTCCAAAAATGAAAATCAAGGCCTTGGGAGGTAAAAGGATTTTTGCATCATAATGATGAGTTCTGAGGTTCTTTCCAACTTTGAGATTCCAGGATTTAAAAAAGATATCAGCTATTTTTAGTTTGATTATAGGATTAGGATCCCTTCTTTAGGAAGAGCTAGCCCTAAACTAAGCCAGAATAACATAGATGGTCTCTTAAGTCTAGGTTACGTATAGATTTAGTGAATAGATTAGAAGACATTATCATTGAGTAGCAAATAATTTAGAAAAATAAAATAATCCTAAGTTTATAAAGTTTTTAAAAAGGCTAAATTTCCCTTTCTAGTAGAAAGGTGAGTTGACTAGAGGTGAAGTTCCCCTTTCTGGCAGCTGGAAAAAAGTTAGCCAGAGGTTAAAATTAAGCCCCTTTGTCTTGAGATAGAGTCGGAATTGAATAATGGACTATTCTAAGGAAATTGGGGGCGGGGGAAACTGCCAACCACTGACCATAACTTTTCTAGCACACTTTCTGATTACAAAAAGTACCACCTGGAGGAAAGACTTCCCATAGAATTACAAAAGTCTGGGAGAAATGAACTAGTCAGGTGACCTGCCTTGTCCAACTGAATTATGTTCAAAACAAGTTTCTGTCATTTTTTTCAATTCTTCTTTTTTGTTATAAAAGCCATCTCTGTAAACCATCTCCTACTCTCTGACCTCTGAGGAGTCTGGTGACCTGGTTTGATACGCAAATGCTAGTTTCGCAGATTAAATCATAGATGGCTGGGTAACTAGGTCCTCAGTTTCCTTTCTATTTCAGATAATCCATTTTAACAGATTCTCCTTTATGTGGCTTTGAATGGCCCTAAGTGAATCCACCTTTAATAGGGCCGTATCTAGTCCATTTGCAAATCTATCTGCAATTTATGGATCAAATATATTTTTCAAATTCAAAGATGCCACTGCAAACCAGCTTATCTTGTTATCTATGCTGGTCAGAGATACTCTCAGAGATCAAGGCAGCTCAGCTCTTTCAACATTTAAGGACTGGTGGTTAGTCATTCCCTTTGATGTTTATACAAAATGTCAAATACAAAATCCTTTCTTTGGCCTTCAAAGCCCTTTATAACCCAGGTACCCCTTTCCAGTCCTTTTTACACCTCATTCCCTGCCAAGTCATCTTCAATCCATTGATACTGGCCTCCTTGCTATTCTAAGAACAAGACAATGCTCTTGGCTCTGAGCATTTTCTCCATGCCCGGAATGCCCTCTCTCCTTATCTCCACCTCCTGGCTTCCTTCAGTTCCTTTGTGGCTGTTCAGTAGTTTGAGTTTTTTTCCCCAGGGGTTTTCCTCATAACCCCATTTGAGGTTTTCCTGGCCATTTCCTTCTCTAGTTCATTTTATAGATGAGGAACTGAGGCCAACAAGGTTGAGTGACTTGACCACAGTCACACAGTTAGTAAGTGTCTGGGACCAGATCTGAATTCAGGAAGATATGTCCTCCTGACTCGAGGCTGAGCACTCTTATCCATTGCACCATCTACCTGTCCTACCTACTGCCTTGAAGTCCCAACTAAAATGTCACTTTCTATATGAAGTCTTTCCCAACCCCTCTTAATTCTGGTGTCTTCCTTCTCTTAATTATTGTTTATTTGTCTGGCATACAGCTGGTCTATTCATATTTGTTTGTTCTCTCTCCCATTAGACTGTAATCTCCCCGAGGGCAGCAGCTATCTTTTGCCTCTTTTTGCATTCATAGTACCTGACCTGTGGGATAGAAAATAAGCCATGCCAATGACCCAGAATATCAACTTAGCAAACATGGCAAAATGGATAGAGCTGGCTTCAAACCCAGAAAGACCTGGGTCTCTAACACATAGCGGCTGTGGGAAGGCACCAGGCAAGTAATTTAAACTCTCAAAGCTCTCAGTCTCAGAGTGAAACAATACCTTAAGACTATTAAGTGGTAGAGAGGGTGCCATCTTGCACTGATAGAGGCAGCTTCCTTACCTGAGAGTTCCCCATACCAATGAAATCAGGGGTCCAAACCTCTATCTCTATGCCCCGTGATCCAGGCACTGCACAGGCAACGGCGATACAAAACACAAAAATGGGTAATACCTGTCCTCAGAGAGCTCACATAGTCTACAACATGGATCACAGCTCTAGAGCTGGGAGTTAGAAATCACCTAGTTCCAAACTCCTCATTTTACAAATAAACTGTGGTCCAGACAAGTTAAGGAAGTGACTTGATTTTTCTCCCTATTCACCTTATATTTGTTGTTTTTGAGTTGTTTCAGTTGTGTCTGACTCTTCATTACCCCATCTGGGTTTTTTTTGGGGAAAGATAACTGGAGAGGTTTGCCATTTCCTTCTCCAGCTCATTTTATTGATGAAGAAACTGAAGCAAACACGGTTAAGTGACTTGCCCAGGGTCACACTGCTAGTTGGTGACTGAGGCCAGATTTGAACTCAGGTCCTTCTGACTCCAGAGTCAGTATTCTCTCCACTGTGTCACCTAGACACCCATCTTGTATTTTTAACAGCCTTATAGTTATTCTACATAAACATATACATGTGTATATACACATATACATAAAATATACTATACACAAATATGCATGTGTATTATTGACATATACCAAAGACTTTTACATAATATGTGATATGTACACATATAGGCATATACATATATGTACATGCAACCATGAAATTAAAAGATGTTTGCTCCTTGGAAGGAAAGCTATGGCAAATCTGTACAGCCTACTAAAAAGTTGAGATGTCACCTTGCTGACAAAGGTCCACACTCTCACTGCTACGGTTTTTCCAATAGTAGTAATGGATGTCTTTAAGAGTGAGACCATAAGGAAAGCCGAGCACTGCAGAATTGATGTCTTGTGGTCTTGCAGAAGACTTCTGAGAATCCCTTGGACAGCAAGAAGGTCAAATCAGTCAACACTGAAATTAATTCAGGCTATTCATTGGAAAGTCAAATGCTGAAGTTTAAAGACTGGACTCATTGGAAAAGATCCTGATGTTAGGAAAGATTAAAGGCAAAAGGAAAAGGGGACTGCAGAGGATGAGATGGATAGAATGAATATGAGCTTGGACAGACCTCAGCAGAAATAACAGAGTACAGAAGGGCCTGGTGTGGGATCATGAAGAGTCAGACATGGCTGAACACTGAACAACAACAATATATACATGTGCATGGATATGTGTACACAAATATGCACAAGATTTATGTAGCACCCTATTGTAATATGCACACTTGTATACACATATAAAATGCAAGCGTGTAACATATACATGCATATACACAAGTATACATACATGTACACACATGGTGTTATAAAACTCTTAAGACTGAAACCTCACAAAGGCTTTTGGGTTACTATCGATATACATATATATATATGTATCATGATATAGTGGATATCAGAAAAACAAGGAAGATGAACTACTAGGTCTACAGATACTCCAAAGAAATCACAGAAAGAAGAAAAGGACTGATGTACAAATATATTTATCTTTTTTTCTATCGTAAAGAACTGGAAACTAAGGGGATGCCCATCAATGAGGGAATTTCTGAACAAATTATGATATATAAACATAAAGGAATACTATTATTATGTAAGAAATGATGAAAGGGATGGGTTCGGAAAAACCTTGGAGGAAATATATGTACTGATGTAGAGTGAAGGTCAGCAGAAGCAGTAAAACAATTTAGTTACAACAATGTAAAAACAAATAACTCGGAAAGACTTGAGTTCTGATCAATGTAGTGACCAACAATGATTCTAAAGGACTAATGATGAAGCCTGCTATTCACCTCCTGACAGAGGGTAATATATTTGGGGATGAAGAACAAGACATATTTTTAGATGTGGCCAATGTGGGAATTTATTGCTTGAATATGCATATTTCAAGGGTTTTATCTCCTCCCTCATCCAATATACGGGAGGGAGAAAAAAAACCCAGATTTTTGTTAGTTGAAAAAAATAAAATTTAAGGAATAAAATGGAAGGGGCTGTACTGGATGACCTACTACCTCCAAGGCTTCTTTCTATTTTAAAATCTATAAACCCATACTACCCTATGCTTTAAGTTGACTGAGTCACTGATAGCCAGTTCAAAAGAATTCTGGCCAGAATATTGGCAAAAAATGTCTCCTAAATGATTGTAGCAGTCTTCTTTGATGTAAGGAAGTATCCTATGTGGTCATGGGCATTTTTCTAATTGTGAATAAGTATAATCTTTCAAACAATAAAGCACTAAGCAAATCTTTCTGCTGCTTCCCTTACCACTTTCCCCTTATCTTTTGCTTTATAAGTCTTTTTTCACCACAGAAACACTCCCATCAAGGAAAACATTGAAAGTAAATTTTATTAACATATTCTATAGTAATATTCCCAAATCATTATTATATCATTTATCGATCAAGATCTAGTAATGTTTGCCAGAGGAAGTAGCAGTCATGTTTATGATGTATCAAGGAGGAAAATGTCTATAAGCTATGAAATGCAATCCCTACTGAAATGAGTATCTGAACATTACATTAAGCTCAGGCTTAATGTAACGAGTAATTTTTCTTCCTGAATTGAAAAGCTTATCATGATGCATTTGGGAAACTCACCTTCTGTGCGCAGCACATTAAATGCTAAAGATGAAAACAGCTTTGTTACCAAATTTAAAGCCAATTTTGGTGTAGAAAAGGTTAATTGGGTCAGAAGGTATATTATAGGGAAAGGAACTGCTTTTTAATGTCAGGTTTATGACTTAATTATTGAAAATCAAGATATAGATATCTAGATAAAAGTATATAGCAATGATATCCACTGAAAATCTTGTGAATGAGATAAAATTGTGTTGACTTTGAGTTCCAAAAAGTATGACAAAAAGGTTCCTAAAAAGGAAAGGAAAAGAAGGAGCAATAAAGGGAAAAGTTAGAAGCTCTTGCTAAGAAAGAATGATTTCTTCTGAGGAATTCTGACTTTCTTAGACAAGGATCAGTTTCTCACTAATACCTTGGGCAATCTGGGATGCTAAATGATTCTATATTTCCTTCTCTTCCTTTTCAGGCCACTTAAAGACTAAGAAATGTTTATTCAAAAGAACATGAAAAAAACACCTCAAAAAATGCTACCTGTTTTACAATGGAGTAAAGAGATGTTCCCAAGAGCAACAGAAATTACCTGGAATCCTCTCCCTTTCCCCCATTAAATCACCTGTGTGAAGTGTACCCACAGGTCTGAGGTATGACTTTGGGCAGCTGACTCCTTTCTCTTCACATACAGAAATGACCCTGTGACCTAGGGCTTATCTGCCTGCCAAAAAGATCCCTTTAGGATGCAGGAGGAGCAAAAACCTTACCTGAGCTATCTTCACCAAGCCCCTCTGCAGCTTCCCGCATCTTAATATCCATTATTCTTGTAGAGCTCATTTCCAGTTCCCTAGAAACCAAAGAGAAATGAGTTTTAGTTAAGCGAACATCTTCAGTTAAAGACACAAGTCAATCAGGTTGCTGCTCTTTGCCGGTAACCCTAGCTGCAGGCACACACCTACTTTGGCGTAGATAAGATCACAGGGCAAAGTTCTATAGAAGAAAATGTGCCTACGCCCGTAAGCCTGGCAATCATTTAAAAATTCATCTGATCACTGACCACAAACAATAGAAGCAGCCGAGGTGAAAGACAGTCAGCCATACCATCAACTATACAAGTCAGATGTGGTTCCTTTTTTTTTTTTTGTAAATGAAAGAATCCTTTGTACCTTCATGGAAGTCATTTTACACGGTTACTGGTTGACATTTATGATGCAAACACACCCTAAAGTAGGTAGTGTGCCAACACAGCAGCAGCTTATATCCTTCAATAGTAAACTTTAAAATCACACACACACAACACACACATACACACACACCACACAACACACACTTAAAAACAGTTCCTTAATGAGAACTGCTTTGAATGAAGTACTTCCTCTATAAAGGATGGATTCAAAAGAGTCAATACAATAATATCAATAATATTACAATTGTATTACAATACAATAAGATCAATAATATTCATCCAGTGGCCACTTGTAGAAAACATTTAAGTGTTACAGGAAGAGGTACAGATAAGAAATAGACACAATTCTTGCTTTAAAGAAGCTTGTAAGTTAATTTAATCCATTCTGTGGAGTAAGGAAGCAGGAAATAACCCCATCTCATAGAGGCAAGACAGACAGGAATAAAATGACAGCGCTAGTGACAGAGGTTGGCCTGATATGCAGGTCTTCTAGATATTCTTCAAATAACAATTTCACATAGTACGTCCTGACCACCAGTTATCTCATTTCCTCCCAGAAAAGTGAAACTTTCATTCAGCCTCAGCAATCACCTTTTCCCCTCTTTCTTTCCTTCCTTCCTTCATTTCCTTCTTTTTTCTTTATTCCTCTCAAAAAACAAAGTTTTACTGATGCCTTTTCATTAGTCATTTCCATATGCAACCTTCTTTGACCATCTTAAGACTGAATTCTGAAGGATGGGTAGGAATTTACAGGGAAAAGGACACGCAGAATGTCCATAATATCTTGATGACTATTAAGTGAAGAACATCTTAACTGCTTTCTTCCATTCGTTCTAAGAATTCTACTCATTCCAAAAATGGAAAGACTTCATACAGGTTATGTTATAAAATCTTGTTTGCTTAGTTACAGAAGTCTTCCTGCTCCTCAACCAGCCCCTTCCCAATCCTACCAATTGAAATTAATGATCGGTCAGAAAGGATGATATACCTCAGAAACACCTCAGAAAATATCCCAACTTCTTTTAGCACCCTCCTACCATAATTTCTTTCGCAGTGCCATGAGATACGTTTAAAGGAGGGCAGATAATACATATCTCCCTTCTTTATATGTCCCATCTTGGGGACAGCCTCAGCTCCACGGTACTATGGCAATTCCAATCCTATTCTTTGTACCTAAACAGATCCCTCATCTGGCATGTAAGTGCACATGTAAACATGTCTCTCCAAGCCTTCACAAGGGATAGCAGGCAGAGTGGCAGACTTGGGAGTCAAGAAGACCTGGGCTCAAATCTCGCCCTAGATACTTGGTAGCTATGTGAACCTGAGCAAGTGCCTTAACTTCTCTCAGTCTCAGTTTCCTTTTCTGTAAAATGGGGACTAATATAGTAAATTCTAGTTAAGATATAAAGGCCAAAATTGGATGGGGTGGTATTGACTTCTCCCCCAAATTAAGTATAATTAAATATAATTTTTCAATTATATTTACAAATGCATATATAAAATAAAAGGTAATTTGGGAAGACTGGACCCTAGTAACTGGGGGCCCTCAGGAAGGACTTTCTGCAGAAGATAGCAATGGAGCTGAGTTTTGAAGGAAATCAAGTATTCAAAAAGTATTCAAAAAGAATACTTTAATTAATTTAATTAAATGGGAGATTGAGTACCATGTTCAAGGAACATCAAGTTCCAACAGCACTTATCTCACAGGGTTGGTGTGAGGATCAAATGAGATAATGTGTTTTTATAAATCTTAAAATGGCCTATAAATGTTTGTTTATTGTTACTATTGTTATTTTTCAGGGCAGCTAGGTGACACAGTAGATAGAGTACCTGCTCTGGAGTCAGGAGGACCTGAGTTCAAATGTGACCTCAGAGACTTGACATTATTAGCTGTGACTCTGGGCAAGTCACTTAACCCCACTGCCTAGCCAAACAAACAAAAAAAAGCAATTACTGTTATTATTCCAGTAGCTTTTTAGGGTCCTGATCCTCTCAAACATTCTGGAACATAAAAGTGTGGTGGCTAAGTACCTACAGCAGTCTAAAACTATCTGCGGTCTTGAAAATACTGGGGGGCGGCTGTATGGTAAGGCGTTCTCAGAGACAGACAAACCCACAATTTATTCCAGTCTTAATATCATCCTTCCAGCACTCCAGTTTTTGTTTTGTTTGTCTTTTAAAAATGCCACCCCCCCAACCCCAACCAAACTTCTACTTATGGGTTCTTTCACAATAATTCACACTATGGAGCAGCTATGCGGTGCAGTGGATAGAGCTCCAGCCTTGGAGTCAGGAGGATCTGAGTTCAAATTCAGCCTCAGACACTTGATACTTACTAGCTGTGTGACCCTGGGCAAGTCACTTAACCCTGATTGCCTCACCAAAAAACAAACAAAAAAATACTATTTGAAATAATTCACATTAAATTTCTCCCTTTTAGTGCCGATTCCTTCCTAGATATAGATCTATAACAATTCACTCATGAAAAATGCAAAATTGATTCTAGATTTTGTTTTATGGTATGGGTTATTTTAAGGGCCAAGATGACATTTGTTCCTACATGTTTGGAGATTTCTGATTTTATTTTATGCATATAATATAGCATAGTGAGACCCTGCAAAGTTCACTGATACTAGTGAGTAGCCATTAATTGCAGGGTAAGGCTAGAACAAGGATCTGTAATGGAAAAAGACTGATACAGTATCTGTCTTCTCAAGATGACTTCACACCCTACAACTACTGTCCAATGGTCTTTCCTCAAAAGACTGTGAATACATGATCTCATTTCTTTATTTTTCTAAATAAAATCATGAATACATCCTGCTTCCTTTTATTTCTCTCAATTCTAGCACAGCCACACCCCCCAAATTCAGTTCCTGGACTTTCTGCCAAGATGGTTCCTTGAAGTCTATGTGTGGATGGGTGGGGATGGAAGGAATAGGTCACTCAGCTCCTACTTACCTACTCCACTGAAATTCAGTTCCTCATTATTCAGCAGTAGAAAAGCGCAGGAAAATGGATGGAATACCAGCAATAACACAGCTGAACTCTCCCAACATTCTCCTCCAAACAACTTTAAAATAACTCCTCAAATAAAATTTTGAGTGGCAGAGCCAACAAAAGGTTGGGGTGACACATTTTTCCAGCCTATGACAACTTAGGGGGTCTGCAGGAGAAGTTTGTGTCACTGGGGTGGGAGCCAGCCTGGAGTTCAGTAACATCACCAGCAGGGGGCCTTGGTAATCAGCTAGGATAGCAGCAGCAGCTTCAGGAGCTCTCAACCCAGAGATAGTAAAGGTGTTGGATACCTCGTCAGAAAGATTACAGGGGACCTTTTGCTGGCACTGCGTGCAGCTGGCACTGACTGGCAACTTCACTGCTCATAAGCAGTTCTGGGTCACAGTTCCAGGGTAGAAAAGAGCATTTATGATCAGTCACAAGGAAGCAGAGGCCCTGGTGGCAGTTCCAAGGCAGAAAGGAGCACTAGCGCTTGTGGCTGCAGGAGAAAAGGGGCCCCGGTCACAGTTCCAGGCCCAAGAGGAGTGCTAGTGCTTGTAGCTGCAGAGGAACAGAGGCCCCTCCTGAGTAAAGACCAGAGGTAACCCCACACCTCTCCCAAGATCACATCACCTTGGAAAAACTGACCCCTAGAACTAGCTCTGAAAATAACAGCAGGAAAAAGCCTGAAGCTTGGGGCAGTACATTGCCACTCTGAGATGGACAAAATACAAGGTTCAAAGTAAAAAAAAATAGGCAGGAAAAACAAGCAAACAACAACAAAAAGAACTTGACCATAAAAACTTACTACAGTGGCAAGGAAGACAAAGAAGTAAACTAAGAAGAAGACAACCATGTGAAAACAGCTACAAGAAAAGTCTCATGCAAAAGAAAAATACTCATTGGACCCAAGCCCAACAAGAATTCCTGGAATGTTAATGAAAGAGATAAGAGTGGTAGAGGGAAAACTGAGAAAAGAAATAAGTGATGTAAGAAAATTATGAAAAGAGAATTAACAACTTGGTGGGGGGAAAAGCACAAAAAATACTGAAGAAAATAATACCTTAGAAAAACAGAATTGACAATGTTAAAAGAGTCACAAAAATTCACTGAAGAAAAGAACTCCTTAAAAAGCAGAATTGACCAAATGGAAAAAGAGGTACAAGTGCTCACCAAAGAAAATAATTCCTTAAAAATTATTATTGGGCAAGTGGAAGTTTAATGAGACATGAGACATCAAGAAACAATAAAACAGAATCAAAAGAACGAAAAAAAATAGAACATGTGAAATATCTCATTGAAAAAGCTGACCTGGAAAACAGAATGAGGAGAGATAATTAAGAATAAAATAAGAATTACTGGATTACCTGAAAGCCATGATCAAAAAAAAGCCCAGACATGATATTTCAAGAAATCATAAAAGGAAACTGCCCCCATATTTTAGCTTGAGGATAAAACAGAAACTCACTGGTCACTACCTGAAAGAGATCTTAAAATGAAAACTCCTAAAAACATTATAGTCAAATTCTAGAGCTCCTAGGTCAAAGAGAAAATATTGCTAAAAATCAGAAAGAAACAATTCAAATATTGTGGAGCCATAGTAAGGCTCACACAAGACTCAGCAACTTCCACGATAAAGTAGGAGAGGACTTGGAACATGATAT